TTTCTTTCTTTCCCTCTCAATGGCTCTTTCTCTCTCTTTTTGGTGAGTGCATGAGCCCTAGGGCAAAAATCCTCTAAAATTAAATTAATTAATAAGTAAGTAAATAAATAAATAAATAAATAAAATGGGGGCTGTCAGTGTGCTGATGTAAATTTTCTCTTCTTTTTCCTTTTTTTGTTATTGTTGTGATAAAGTCTACTCAGTAAGTTTTAGAAAAACAAGAAAACAAACAAAGACTATACCTTCAAAACACAAGGCCTAGGGAACCAGCAGTTAGTGTAATGGCTATGTCGCTGGACTCCCACGTAGTCGACCATGGTTCGCGTCCCAGACCCGGTGGCTTAAACTCACGCCGGGTACGTGTGCGTGCATGCCCAAGATCCCGAGAGGAGAATGGGGGAGAAGGGACTGCGGCGTACCATCCTCCCTGGGGAGTGATTTCTCGCTGTCTCTATATCTCTGTCTGTCTGGCGAGTGCATGTGCCCTATAGCAAAAAACCTCTCCCCCTTCGCCCCCCCCAAAACAAACAAACAAACAAACAAACAAAAAAACACAAGGCCTATCCATGCTCATTTAAGTAATAAACTAACTGCAACTGGGCCTTTAGTTATAGGTGGGAAATTGTATAGATGAGGAATCAAAAGTAATGCATTGATTCTGAGTCAAACTCAAGATACCAACACAAAAAAGTAAAACTGCCTTCATTAATGTATATCTTCAGTTATTCCGGGACGGACTCAGCGCTTCCCACAGCGCTTCCCACAGCGCTCCGGCACCCGGGCGGGGCAAGAGGGCCCTCCCTTTTCAACGTCAGGACAATGAGTAGAGTGTAACGGGCTGGGCTGGGGCTGAGCTCACCACCAAGTCAGAGACCGAGGAGGGGAGAGGGCTCACCTTATCTACGACCCTCCCCGTGACCCCCATGCCGTTGAGGATGGTGACGTTCACGATGGTTGGCATCCCTCCGTAGTAGATGGGCTGAGAACAGTAGGGCCACATGTAGGGACACTCAGTCAGGTCCACGTAGCTGGGGCTCAAACTGAAACGAAGAGCACAGTGTTAGAGGGACATGTTCCCGAGAGACGAGGACAAGGGACAGCTGGTACCTGCCCGAGCTGAAGGAGCCGGCCTGCAGGCTGCCCTGGGCTGAGGCCTGCAAACGTGGCTCTGGAATGCTGCCATGCTGACAAGGTTGCTGTGGAACAGTGCATTGAGGGAGAACACGGACAAGAACTGATCACTTATCTGTAACTTATCAAAAGACTTATTTACAAGGAATCACCTTGACTTTCAAAGACGACACAGTTGAACGAAGGTTACTGACAAAAAAGATGGATAACTCAGTGCCCACTTTGTGTGTTAGAGGAGTTAGGACAGCTTTCTCTCAGTACACACGGTGCAGGACACGGGACACCTGCTGCCTCCTGTGTCTGAGCTCGGGGACTTCGGCTGGCACAAATGAGTATGTGACCAGCCCCAGCGAAAACCTGGGACTCAAGTCTCAAAGGAGCTTCCCTCGGCAGAAACACGCACAGGTCAACGCAGTCTGCTGCCAGGGAAGGGACCGGATCCGGGAGACCCTGCCTGGCCGGCTGGAGGGAGGGAACTTAAGGAAGCTAGGCCCAGACTCCTCAGACCCCTCGGACCCCTCTGCCTCAAGTGTCTCTCCCCGTAAGGATCTGCTACGCGTCCCTGCGGTGCTGCTGCCACAACCTTAGCTGTGAATACAACAGGTGAGCCCTGTGAGCCCTAGCGGAGCAGCACACCCGGAGTGCGCCTGGGGACCCTGGCGCAATGCGGACTCACGCGCTCCTGCCACGCTGTCTTCCCCTTATCTGAAATGACTCTCGACTGGTGGCACATCGTTCTCAGTGCAGCACTAGTGTCACCTATATGTGGTCAGGACAGGCAGGTGGTGGCTTCCAGGTAGGACGTGACCCGAGATGACCTCACTCGGTATGTCAGGTGGGAATGAGCCTGGCTTATCCAGCTGTGCCTATGTCACTGGCTCTGCTCCACCGCTTCATCTTATTAGATCATCTGGCTTATTTTAGACATCTAGGACGTGAAGACTGGTATTTTTTTTTTTAAGTTTTGTTGGTTTTTTTTCCTCCATAGGGTACATTTGCTTGCTGGAGAGAGAGACAGAGGCAGTGAGAGGGCAAGTGAGAAACCACCCTCCAGGGGGATGCCACACCGCAGTCCAGTTTCCTCCATTCTCCTTCTTGTATCTTGGGCATGTACGCATGTGCACCCGGCATGCTTTTCAAACTACCAGGTCTGGGACCCAAACCACTATCAGCCACATGAGAGTCCAGTGTTGTAACGACAATGCCATCTGCTGGCCCTGAAGAGTATTTTTATACTGATAAATTACAAGGAAGATTAATAATGGCCAACTGAATTACTCTACAAAAACATACAACATCTTTAAGGCTATGGTGACTTTCGTGGGTGACTATAATCAGTATGTGTCAGCTAGTAGTTTAAAACAGATACCACCTAGCTTCAAAAATTCTGAGTAGGCTGGCTATGTGACCACAACTCCACTCTAAATGTGCTTACAAACCTCAACTAGTACCTGTACTCGCTGAGTGGTTTAACTAACAGGATTCAACCAAGAAATCATTATTAGCAAACAGAGATCAATACCGTATTAAGAAAATAATGGGGCCGACAGGTGGCGTGGTGCTTAAAGTCCTGGACTCCCACACGGCTGAGCACAGATCAAGTCCTGGGCCTGGCGGCTTGCTTTCTCCCTTTCTCTCTCTCTCTGGTCAAACTTTTAAGAATAATAGTAATGGGGGCCAGCAGGTGGTGTGGTGGTTGGGGTGCTGGACTCCCACATGGCCAACCACGGTTCAAGTCCTAGACCTGGTAGCTTGCTTTCTCATGCTTCCTCTCTCCATCCCTGTCTCTCTCTGGTCAAATTGAAGAATAATAAATACATTGGATAAATACTAATAAAATTTAAAAAATAATAATAATAATGAATAAAATTAAATAAATAATTCTTTAAAATAAAATAATATACCAAGATTGCAGATGGTATAATGGTTTATGTCACTGGACTCCCACATAGTCGACCACGGTTAAAGTCCTGGACCCGGCGGCTTAAAACTCATAGTGAGTGTGTGTGTGTGTGTGCGTACCCCAAATCCCAAGCGATAGAGGAGAAGGGATTGTGGCATGGCCATCACCCCTGGGGAGTGATTTCTCACTTTCTGTCTCTCCAGCAAGTACACAGGTTGTATAGCAAAAATCTCTTTAGGAAAAAAGGAAAACAATATACCATGATCAAGTAGAATTTACTGCAGTGATACAAGATTGGTTCAATATTAAGAAACTTGTTATTACCAGATACCACATAAACGGACCTAACCTATTTGCATGATTACGTTTGCAGATGCTGACAAGGCCTACAAAATTCAACGTACGGCCCTGACAAAACACACTCAAGAAAACAGCAACTGATGAACAATCCATGATAAAATGCAAACACCCTGGTCATCGAGTCAGCATCTTACTCAGTGTGGAAACACAAGACGACCTCACTGAGACACAGGACGTGTACGGACACCCACTGTCCCTGCAGCTCGACGCTGTGCTGGAGACACAACCCGACAAACACTGAGCACCGGCAAAGAAGAGGCAAGATGCTCTCTACCCACACCACATGTCAGTATACCTGGAAGACCATGGGGAGGCAGTAACAGAACTAGCAATACTTTAGTTAGGTTGCAAGGTAAAAAACTGACATACAAAGGGGCCAGCAGGTGGCATGGTGATTAAGGCATTGGACTCCCACATCACGAACTGTGGTTCAAGTCCCGAGCCTGGCGGCTTGCTTTCTCAACCCATCAATCTCTCTCTGTGTGTGTCTCTCTCTATCTCTCTTTGGTGAACTCACATGCCCTATAGAAAACTTAAAAATAATCATGATAAATAAAATAATTCTTAAAAAAAAAAAAAGAAAGAAAGAAAGGACAGGGACCAGCAGTTAGCGTAATGGCTATGTCACTGGACTCCCATGTAGTCGACCGCGGTTCGAGTCCCGGACCCAGCGGCTTAAACTCATGCCAGGCACGTGTGCGTGTGTGCCCAAGATCCCAAGAAGAGAATGAAGGAGAAGGGATTGCAGTGTGGCCACCCCCCCTGGGGGGTGATTTCTCGCTTTCTGTCTGTCTGTCTTTCTCTGTCTTTCTGGCGAGCACACACGCCATACAGCAAAAAAAACTCTCCAAAAAAAGAAAGAAAGAAAAAAAGACATACAGAAATAAAACCAGCCAGTTAGAGAATACCATAGAAGAGAGTACCCCTCCTATAACAGCAACAAGAATGCGTAGTTCAACCTTACCAAGAAATGTGCTAAATCTACAGGTCAAGCCTAAGCCCTCCTGGAAGACACAGAAAACTTTGACAAATGGAAAAAATAACTCAGCATTATAAAAATGGCACTTCTAAGTCCACTTAGAATTTGATGCAATCTTGGGACCAGTAATTGGCGTAATGGCTACGTCACTGGACTTCCATGTAGTCGATCGTGGTTTGAGTCCCAGATCCAGTGGCTCAGATTCACGCTGGGTGCGTGCACAAGATCCCAAGAGGAGAAGGGATTGAGGCGTGACCATCCCCCCTGGGGGGTGATTTCTCGCTTTCTGTCTTTCTGGCGAGTGCACATGCGCTATAGCAAAAACCTCTCAAAAAAAAAAAAGAATCTGATGCAATCCCAATAAGCCTCTTTTTTGGGGGGAGAGGTTTTTGCTATAGGGCATGTACACTTGCCAGAAAGAGAGACGGAAAGCATGGGACTCGAACCGTGGTCGACTACAGGGGAGTCCAGCAACATAGCCATTACGCCAACTGCTGGTCCCAAGAATTACTAACTCTTAAATAGAGAGACCAAAAAATATCTACAGCTGCCCTTTCGTGCATCTGTGCATCTGTGTAAGAGGATGTATAAAGCAAACATGATGTGACTGTCATCAAGAGGGGCACATGGGGGCGGGGTGGGCAGCACAGAGGAGTAAGAAGGGCTGCTCACACCTTGCTGTGCGTCCTGACCTCAGAGCTGTGGTGACCTTTCCTATTCCCAGTGAAGTTGACATCCAGCATGTGCAGAGAAGGCAGAGGACTCCAAATACAAGTGAGTCAACTGTATTAGAGATGAAGAACAAGAATTTAGTAAGAACTTGACAAAACAGTCTGATCACCTTCTGCAAGGCTGAAGATAAAAGGCACTACACACAAATACCACACTCTAGTCAGTACATCTGTTACTTGTGAAGCTAAGGGTTAGTGATTCTAAAATTACAGAACAATCTCTATTGGAGGACTGAGCATTAAGTGAGATGACTGGATGATGAGAGCCACTGCTGCGGAGAGGAGGGCAGGAACGACGCTGATGTCTGGCGGAGTCAGGACACCGTGTCAGTCATAGTTCTAGCACGTACACTGATGGAAAGACACAGAAATAGCTGGAGGCTATGTGAGTGTGCTGGACTCCCATGTAAGTCGACCACGGTTCAAACACCAAAACCGGCAACTTAAAACTCAGCCGGGTGCATGTGCATGCGTGCCCAACACCCCTAGAGGAGACTGGAGAAGGGACTGCAGCGTGGTCGTTTCCCTGTGAGTGTGCTGGACTCCCATGTAAGTCGACCACGGTTCAAACACCAAAACCGGCAACTTAAAACTCAAGCCGGGTGCATGTGCATGCGTGCCCAACACCCCTAGAGGAGACTGGAGAAGGGACTGCAGCGTGGTCGTTTCCCTTGGAGGGTGATTTCTTGCTGTCTGTCTCTCTGGCTCTCCGGCGAGCACTCGCGCCCTATTACCATTCTCCAGTTAAAAGACAATTGCCTGGAGAAGAGACTGACACTGAGGCTGGGACAGAGAAAGGCACGGAGGGTGTGGTGTGCTGCCAAAGAGGAGGAAAGCACTCGGAAACCAGGAGGGAGGGCCACGAGTGCTCCACAGTCAGAGGGAAAGGCGGAAGCTGTGCAGTGGTGGTGCCGGGCAGCTGCACGCCGGCCCCACCGAGCCACGCCGCTCAGACCTCCTGCTACAGGGTGCCGCCAGATGACACCATGAGATGCCGCCCTCTGAGACCTCCCCAATGTCTGTGTCAAATTCATGCTCCCCACAGGCCACCCCGGCCAATGATTGGGCAAAGAGGGGTATTAGGGCAGGCCTGTTTCCATGGAGCAGAGGACGCCTCTAACAGGAGACTTCATTTCGTGGATTTCCCATCAGCAAAAACTTCGTTAGACCTGCACTGCAGCCCGAGGCGTGTCCTTCCACTCCTTCCTCCTCCCACCCTTCCCAGCTGTCAGGCCAGCGCCACACTGAGAGCCTCCCTGCCTACTCCTGCTCCCTCCTGCTCTTCCACAGGCCTCGCCTCCAACCACGGATCTCTTCGGACAACAAACACGAGGGCCAACTGGCCCGGCACGACTGGTCTCCCACCTTGGGAGTCTGCCTCCTGGAGGGCATAGACTGACTGATACACTTGGTAAACAAGTAATGAAAATTACCACCACCAGTAAGAGGCCAAAGAAAAGCAGGAACTGTGCACCGTGGAAGCGATTAAGGAGAGTGGATCCTGAACTCAGAAGGTGAACTGGTCTGCTGCTCAGTGAGGGGGTGCCAAGCACCCAAGCCCAGGTACGAAGGCCTGTGCCATGGCTGGGTAAGAGGCTCGAGGCAGGGGAAGTGACGTTAGCATGCACCACGCTGTGCAACTGTCAGAGGTCTGAAACACCACCAAGGTGAAAGGTGAAAAAATTCTTACCACAAATGAGAAACCTTGACTTAGTCATGAGGAAACAGCCAATAAACCCACACTGAGACGACAAAATGAGCAGCTGGCACTTTCCCGGGTGTCACAGTCACAGCGACAACAGACAGACGGACTGTCAAAGGTCAGAGGAGACCAGGAGCACACGACGATGGGGCCAGACCCAGGTTGGACAACGAACACGAGGGCCGGGGCCCGGCACGACCGGTCTGCAGATGGAGCCCAGCACAGCGTCCGTGCCGATCTGCTGGTCCTAACAGCTGGACTGGGACCCCCTAAGAGGCTGGCACTAGGGGACGCTGAGAAAAGAGTTCCTGAGAACATTTATACACCCCTGATGACTTCAAAAGGTAAACAAGAGTGAAGACAGTTACTCTGAACCACTTACATGAATAAAAGAACCTGAGTGAGTTGCGAGCCGTTCCAAGTTGTGCAGGCCGCAGCCCAGTGGAAGCAGCACACAGACCCCCACCGAGCGCCCAGGTGCCTGATCTGGACGGTTCGTGAAGCTGACATTTCGTTTGAGGGAAGCCCAAGGGGCCAGTGAGGACGAAGGAGGCCTGCTCCACAGGCTGTGTACTGACCTGGCCTGGGGCTTGTAGCTGGTGAGGATCTGGTAGGCTCTCAGCAGATCGAGCTTGCCATGGCCTTGCTCAAACATGTTGACACCAGGAAGCCTCCGGGCTGACGCGATCAGGGCCTGCTTCATGCTGGCAGGGTTCACCAGCTCACGTTTCTGGACTGTGCTGGGGGAAAAATCATGTATTTGCTCATTTTCTCTCAGTGAAAGGATGACAAATCAGGCTGCCCCTTGCCTATAAATGTGGACTCCGACTTTGTTTTATTTCTAACGGGAGCGTCCTTGGCAGGGCCCACACAGGCTGAGCACGAGCAGGTATCTGTTCATGCAAGTGCCTCGGGACTGACCCTCACAACTGCCTATCCATACGGCAGGACTTAGGGGCTCGTGCCTGTGGATGCTAGACTTCTCAGTAACGCTTCTTTTCCCGGTAAACTGACCACATCGACTGCACGGGTCACAGTGGCACAACGGTAAGCAGTGCTGGTTTCTCAGGGCAGGAACTCTTGCTGGCCCAGCTGAGAAGACACCGGAATACAACTGGTTGGAAGGAGAGCAGGAGGACAGGTGGACCCTGGAGAGGGATGGCCAGGGAGGGTGGGCAGGTGGCCACTGCTCCAGAGCTAAGCCTGCCTTTTGTTTCCAGAGCTGAAGGCCCACTCGGGCAAATCAGCATGTGGAAACACCTGCTAGAACCCTGCAGCCCCAAGACTATCTCAGAGTCCTCATAAAAACAAGCCTCAACAAACTTCCCACAGCTCTTCCTGCCTTGGAGCCTGGCCAGGTAACACTCACATCTCACGTTCATGTTCTCTCTTACATTTCTAGGTACAAGTAAGAGGTATCGCCCCGGCGGGCTGACATCTCCTTAGCTAAGAGAAACGGTAAAAAGCAAACCCGGAGACAGGAGCTGCATCACGGAGCAGCTCCACGACCGTCTGTGAGTACCTACATCCATCGTATGCCTTAAACACACATCACAGACTTTTAAAAAGTGACCCTCCAAGGAAACAGGAGAGCCGCAGGGAGACATCTTACCTTTGTTCCCTACTGCCACACACACTTGTTTAGATATAAACAGCACAATTCCAGCACAGAAACCGTTTGTTAAGAAGAAGACGGGACACAAGCACAGGGAGAATGGGTGTCTGGCCTTGCACAGCGAGCGCGGCTCACGTCAGTTACAGCATGTCCGCACACAGCATCGAACCCCAGGAACACACGGGCAGAGCGAGCTCACGACATCCCACCCAGCCCAGTGGGGGCAGCACCGAGACTCCACGCCCATGTGCGGTGCGCAGTGCCCTGAACCACGCGGAACCACGCGGGACCACTCGTCTCTGAGCCGCACTCACCTCACTAACAAGGTGACAGCACCTGCAACCACCGGAGAGGCGACACTGGTCCCCGAGAGGGCCCGGCACCCGCCCTTCACACCAGAGCCCCGCACTCCAGCACCATAGGTGACGATGTCTGGCTTCACACGGCCGTAGCCTCCTGGGAGTTCCTGCGAGCAACAGGAGCACGTGTCCACCACACACATTAGCGCATCACGGCTCACGCGCAGTTAAGAGAGTCAAACCGGAAAAGACATCCTGGTTACTTAAATATACCACAGGCCTAACAAGGTACTTGGATTTAGTCTGAACTTCACTGCAACATGACAAGCTTAAATGATAACATAAAATATAATATTCATTTTAGCAGGTTTTATACATAAAAAATAGTGTTAACTTTAGTATGTTCTGTAATAACTAGGTATGAGACCACAAAGTAATTAATACTTTAATTCCACTAACGCAAGAAGAGGAACTGGACACTAACTCACCACTAAGACTAGAAAGTGATTTATCCCTAGATAAATTAAAATCAGAAAAATCAGGTAAATTAACAAGTAGGGGAAAATAAACAAGTTTCTTTATAAGGAAAAGCAGCGTGTGTCATGGCTCCTTGTTTGGAGTGTGGTAAGGTGCTGGACAGTGGCACGGCGGTGAAACACGAAGCGCCGAGACCCTGCCTGGGCTCCCTAAGCACACGTGTGCCTGTGAGGTGGGCTGGCTGACGTGGGGCGGGCGTATGTGAGGGCCCTGCTGGATGCTAGCTCTCTTGCTTATGGAAGAAATAAATAAAATAAACTTTTAAAACAGGGAAGGGGCTAAGAAAGCATTTAGAAAATCAAGATATGGACAACTCCCTTGGAATAAGATTCTGACAAGTATTCTGCCAAGGCTCCTGGAACCGGGAGCGAGAGGAGGACATTCTGTTAGAACAGAGAGCACCGACCTGAAGTAAAGCCTCCCGGCCGTCAGACAGAAGCACCTGAAGCTCTGGGCGCACGTGGACGCTGAGGGAAGGGCATGGGCTGCAGCCCACAGACAATGCAGGGCATGTCTCCGAGTGCCACTGCCAACAGCCTGGGAGGGCTGCAGCCACGTCGGCCCAGGGGCGAGGGCCAGAAACTGGCAGACGCGCCAAGGACAGGCAACGCCAGATCGTGCCGAGGGAGAGCACAGAGAGGACCCCGGCACTTTCTCACACATACCGTGGCCACCAGACTGCAGCATCAGGTCAGTGGGCCACCTCCAGGAGGCAGGTCTGAGGGCCCAGGCCGTGGCCCTGCTGAGGGCACGGGGAGGTGACCTGTCACGGTACTAAGGCTCAGGGGAAGGCTGTCCCATACGGTGCTGCAGTGTGGGCAAGTCCCGGGGGTTCCCAGGAGGTGTGTCTTTCTGGGAGTCACCTGGGAACACCAGGAGATGCTGCTGCGAGGTGCTTGCTGTCGGCACTTCCAGGAGGGGTGCCGAGCACTGACCTGACGGAGCACCTCATTTTGAATCGCACTTGGTTCTCGTGGGTAAACGAGAGTGAACCCACTGTACAATCAAGCCAGAGCGGCAGAATCACTAGCCTGCTTGAGTTACTTGGATTTTCTCCAGCTAAATATGACTACCTCCCTGTTAAGAGTTGGTACTAAGCTGTTCTCACAGGCTTTTCCTATGTAAAACCAAAAAACAAATGAAAACCACATCTGACCAGGCATCGAGAAGGGCTGCTTCCCTTCCTACTGGGTAGGACAAGGGGCATGAACTGTTCACCTAAAGTTACTGGGATGCTAGCTAGAGAGAAGTGGGACTGGGCGACATCACTCAGGACAGCCTGGGGGTGTGGCTCTGCCCTTGCCACAGTGACAGGCAGAGGGTGAAGGGGCCAGAATCTCCACCCACCGCCCCCGCCAGGTGAGCACCTACAGCCGTGATACACGCCCGGTGAGCCTGAGGGTCCATCTCCTTACAGGCTGCTTCTCCAGATGTGCACTTAAAATACGAAGGCGCTAACACGAATGGCTGCACTGGCAACGTGGTCTAGTAAAGAAAAGCGTACCCAGGTGGTCATCCCCCTTGAAGAAAAGCGGGCGATGTTATCTTCGAAGTCAATGCCGCCTACTCCAATCACATCCATTTGATCCGCAGGGTTATTCAGAGTGCTAAATTGAGACATACAAAAAACAGAACGAAAGAAGGAGAATCAGTTAAAATGAGCAAATAAGGGCAAATACTTGCAGAAACGTTAAGACTCTATAAGATGACTGATGAGACAGCTGCTCCTCACCACCGTCCCTGAACGCCGCGCTCCCTACCCTTCCTGTTGGGCCCAGATTCTGAGTGTTCTCGCCCCTGGAAGGCCTTTTCTTTCTTCTCTTCCCTGTCAACTTGTCACACCAGGCCCCAGCTGAAGACCCCCTCCTCTCACTACTCCAGGCTTGAAGGATCCTTCCTGGCCTTGACCTTCGCAAGACTCAAAAAGATCACGACGCGCCCCCCATTACACACCCTCGCATCACTCTCGAATTGCTCCGAGTGTCCTCATCTTGCCTCTCGACTCCACTAGATGCTTCTCGAGGAAGAAGCCGTAGCTCACATTTGTATCCGCCCCAGCCAGGCAGTCCTAGCTGTCAGCTGACCTTCTGCAGTGTCAACACCTTCCTGACAAGGAACTCTAATCGAGAGCTCCTTAGCGGGAAGACATGGGACACAAATAAGAAACCATTCTCCCATTACAAATCAAGAGGGATGGGCCAGGAAACAGACATCACTGCTGGTACTGAAAAAGGGATGAGGCTGGCCTGGCAGCTGGTCAATGGAACCAGCTCTGACATGGCCGACCACACTTCGGACCTCAGCCTTCTCGTGGGTAAACGAGAGTGAACCCACTGTACAATCAAGCCAGAGCGGCAGAATCACTAGCCTGCTTGAGTTACTTGGATTTTCTCCAGCTAAATATGACTACCTCCCTGTTAAGAGTTGGTACTAAGCTGTTCTCACAGGCTTTTCCTATGTAAAACCAAAAAACAAATGAAAACCACATCTGACCAGGCATCGAGAAGGGCTGCTTCCCTTCCTACTGGGTAGGACAAGGGGCATGAACTGTTCACCTAAAGTTACTGGGATGCTAGCTAGAGAGAAGTGGGACTGGGCGACATCACTCAGGACAGCCTGGGGGTGTGGCTCTGCCCTTGCCACAGTGACAGGCAGAGGGTGAAGGGGCCAGAATCTCCACCCACCGCCCCCGCCAGGTGAGCACCTACAGCCGTGATACACGCCCGGTGAGCCTGAGGGTCCATCTCCTTACAGGCTGCTTCTCCAGATGTGCACTTAAAATACGAAGGCGCTAACACGAATGGCTGCACTGGCAACGTGGTCTAGTAAAGAAAAGCGTACCCAGGTGGTCATCCCCCTTGAAGAAAAGCGGGCGATGTTATCTTCGAAGTCAATGCCGCCTACTCCAATCACATCCATTTGATCCGCAGGGTTATTCAGAGTGCTAAATTGAGACATACAAAAAACAGAACGAAAGAAGGAGAATCAGTTAAAATGAGCAAATAAGGGCAAATACTTGCAGAAACGTTAAGACTCTATAAGATGACTGATGAGACAGCTGCTCCTCACCACCGTCCCTGAACGCCGCGCTCCCTACCCTTCCTGTTGGGCCCAGATTCTGAGTGTTCTCGCCCCTGGAAGGCCTTTTCTTTCTTCTCTTCCCTGTCAACTTGTCACACCAGGCCCCAGCTGAAGACCCCCTCCTCTCACTACTCCAGGCTTGAAGGATCCTTCCTGGCCTTGACCTTCGCAAGACTCAAAAAGATCACGACGCGCCCCCCATTACACACCCTCGCATCACTCTCGAATTGCTCCGAGTGTCCTCATCTTGCCTCTCGACTCCACTAGATGCTTCTCGAGGAAGAAGCCGTAGCTCACATTTGTATCCGCCCCAGCCAGGCAGTCCTAGCTGTCAGCTGACCTTCTGCAGTGTCAACACCTTCCTGACAAGGAACTCTAATCGAGAGCTCCTTAGCGGGAAGACATGGGACACAAATAAGAAACCATTCTCCCATTACAAATCAAGAGGGATGGGCCAGGAAACAGACATCACTGCTGGTACTGAAAAAGGGATGAGGCTGGCCTGGCAGCTGGTCAATGGAACCAGCTCTGACATGGCCGACCACACTTCGGACCTCAGCCCCAGAGGCCTGAAAAACACACTGGGTGTGTGCGGATGTGTGCCTCAGACCTGGACAGGATGGAGAGATGGGGAAGGAACAGTACCACAACCATGTCCAATTGTGGGAATTTTCTCCCTCTTCCTCTCTCTGGGCAAGTTGGAAAAAAACCAGAAGTGTGCCTACATTGGCACTTCCAAATCTCAGAATGTCATGGGAGCAGGACCCAGACACGAGGACACAGCGAGGGTCCCAGGGCCTCAGGCCTCATTTTAGAGATGCTGATGTGCGCTCGCAGCTGTCCTCTACTAGCACTGGGGCACACCTACAGGGCGTGCACGTGGGAGCACTGTGGCACTGTCACCACCACAGCTTGGAGTGCTGGACAGCAGCGCTCAGACTGTTTCCCATCACCACATGCAAGAGCTGGCAGACGCCAGGTCCACGGGCAGCACCAGCAGGCTGGACACAGGGCTCTCCTTGCAGGCCTTTCCTCTAGCACGCTGGGAAGTCACGCTATCGAGCGCAGTGCACGCAAGAGCCTCAGGGTTCCAGAAAGTGGCCAGCATGGCATGTCAAGGGGTTAGTAACCCAGACAGGTGTGACAGGAGGATGGGCAGAGGAACCGGAAAGAAACATGATTTCTGCTGGAGACACAAGAAGGGACTCGAGTGGAAGATGTGCACGGGGCAGTGGACAATGAAGGTGAGCCTGTGGATCCTGGCTAGAGCTGGTTAACTACCGCCATGGCCAAGCCAGGCCCACGCCTGCATCCATGGATCCGGTTTTCAGGAACGCAGCTGTGCTGTTCATCAGCACACTGCCCACGGCTGCTTCCGCAGCACCGCAGCCACGCAGCAGCTCGCACCAGGCCTAAAGTCTGGCCCATGAAGCCCAGACGCTGCCTCTCTTTCTGACCCTTCAGAGGACAAGCTCACCAACTGTGCTCTAGAATACTGAGATCTGGATAACCCGGGGAGAAATGTGGACTTGATCTATGGCCCACTGCAGTCTTGAACTGAAAACACTAAAATGTATGTTTTAACAGGAGAAATGCAGAAAAAGAGAAAGGAAAGGAGCGGCTATCACCCACAGAGCTTCAGTACCCACGGTGCTTTTTCTCATTGCCTGACTCCATCCTCACAACCAGCACACCAGCAGCTCTCGGGAGCCTCTGCTGGAGAAGCGAAGGTAAAGCAGCCTGGAGGTGGCAGATCAGATCCACCCAGTCCCACACCTGTGTGCGCTAGCGCTGGGGCAGGACAGGCTAAAGGCAGAAAGAGGGGCTAGGAAACAGTGACAGACAATCTGGGTGACGCTGGTCTTGAGTAGGGACCTCAGAGATGGGAGAAGTGGCCAGGAGGAGAAACTGGAAAGGAAGAAGAAAACCCACCCGAATCACTCCACAGCCAGTGTTCTCACAGACCTACAGTCAGGAGTGTTCGTGACAGGTACACCCCGAGTCACAATTACATGTGCCGACACCTCAGTAAAACTTGAACCCTGGACCTCTGGCAAGGGAACGGGATGATTTTCTGGAAAGGAGGCTGGGGCCATGTGACTGCGAACAGCCGGCTTTCCCGACCTACATAAGCAGCAACTTCAGAGTTCAGCCTCACACTGTGGATGCTGTGCGTAAGCTCGGCTGACCCCAGACACTGGGTTCCCTTGGCAGGCATCTCGGAGCATCCCAGCCAAGTGCAGCGAGCGTGTCCACAGCATCAACACACACCCACCCCATGGGCACACACTTCTGGGCCTCAACTGTGCTGTGGCATGCCGAGCACACTCGGCACTCTGCTTTCGTCTTGGTGCTCACCTTCGTTGAACTCTCCCCATGAAACCTACCTGCACCCATCTCAGGTGCTCAACTGCCCTCCTACAGAAGCATCTCAGCACAAGGGGACAAAAGCCACAGGTGCAGATGAAAGGAAACTAAGCTCTCTAGCCAGACTGAGGGCACTGGCCAGGACACAGTGACGAACGTTGGCATCTTGTGCTGCTTTAAGTCACGACAACACCCACGCAAAAAGCACACTGTGACACCGTTCCTTCCGCTCCCTCTATGCTCCCGCTCCCCAATGCCCAAAGCAGAGCACCAGCGGAGTCTGCGGGTCCTGCCCCTTCCCATCGGCGCCATCACATTTGCAGATCTCTGCAGAAAGACAAGCACCTCGGCTACTTGTCTCTTCACTGTGCTTTGTACACACTGGGCAGTCCATTTCTAAGAGTCACTTTCCTGATTGACCGGGGGTGGGGGGGAGGAGGAGGAGTGAGAATAAAAGTTTGAGAGTTCCAAATTACTATTTACAACAAAGTTTAAAAAAATCAAACAGGAAAAAACTGGCCTTGAGTTGACAACTGCTGAAGGGAGTGAGCGGTGTGTAGCATTTAACTTTCTACTGGGTACGCTAAAAACGGCCACCAACCAGAGTATGCAGAGAGATCCAGGGAGACAACACCTGCCCAGTTAACTCAGGGAGAAAGACACAGCCCTCAGGCAACCCCTGCTGGGACTACTCACCCATAAAGAGGCCCATCGTTGCCAATAGCAGAAACCATGATTACGTTGTTAGCAGTTAGTTCCCACACCTGCAAAATTAGCAAGCGTTTATTAAATGAAAGTATACAGCTTTTAAACACATAAAGAACCCCACAACCTCTAAAAATATTCCAAGAAAGAAGGGGACACGCCCTCCGTTCGGACCATTAGAGGTGGCTGTCTGGGCGGCACGTTGGGAGAGTGAGACCCAGAGCAGAGGACTGCACGGTGCACTGAGCAGACACGGCTTCCTGCTGTCGGGGAACACAGGGCTGTGTTTGGGTAAAGAAGAAAAGGACGAGCACTACCGTGTGTTCCTATAAATCCCAATGCCCAAGGCCCCCCGCCCACTGGCTCTACGGCATGCCAGTCAGTGAAGTTCAAGCCATTTATTATCCATCCTCGCAAAGCTGTTACCACGGGGGCAGCGGGGAGGCGGGGAGCCACCAGCACACTAGAAATGACGCAAAGTCGGGGCCTGCGGAAAGGGTAGGAACTGTCACCAAAATACGATGTCCTCAAGCAAGCACGCAACCAACCTTGTCGACAAAGGGATGATCCATGAAGTCGGGGCCACCGATGCTCAGGTTCAGAACGTCGATCTTCTTTAAGATGGCGTAGTTGAAGGCGTCCAAAAACCAGGATGTGTAAGACACCTAGTTAAAACAGTCTCTTCAGTGTTTCAGTCACAGTCTCTAAGTGCTGTGAGAGTTTACATTTCTATGGCTAAAGTATAGGTCTTTAACATATTTCTCTCTCTCTCTCTCCCTCCCCCCCTCTCTTTTTTAAGGGATTTTTTGGTATAGGGCACGTGCGCTTGCCAGAGAGACAGAGACAGAAAGTGAGAAGTCGCACGCAGGGGGTATGGCCACACCACAAACCACTCTCCTCTTTCTCTTCTTGGGATCTTGAGCATGTACGCACACACGCCTGGTATGAGTTTTAAGCCCCTGGGTGTGGGACTAAACCACGGTCAACTACATGGGAGTCTAGTGCCGTAACTACTATGCATTCTGCTGTTTCCAACATATTTCTTAATATTTTTTGATTAACTTAAATTTCGAAAATAAATCTCAAGTACAAATAACACTCTGAGATGTAAGGTATGACACCCTGAACTGTGAGTGTTTGGAGCTGGGCCTTCCAAGTGGGTGCTGTGTCCATGGGGGCCTCTCCCTCTAGGAGGACACACAGCTCTTTAGCTAGAGCTCACTGCCTTCCTAAGTAAAACCCCAAACTGTTAGCTGCCTGCAAGAAAGGATTCACCCTCAGCCACTCTTGGTATCTGTCTAACAGTCTGCACTCTTAAACAGACCAAAAGACCAATGACAGTGGGAAGAGCCACTTCATACTAGCATTTCTCCGAGGTTCAATTCCTCCTACTTGCCTTACAGAAGTTAAGTTACTTTAGGAATCAGCATTTAGTTTTTTGGCTTGCTTTAAGGCAAAATCAAGTTTAGAGTAGAAAAAGCAGCAGAGTAACAATTATTAATGCTTTTAGAAGACTACACATTTGTATCTTCTCATGGATGAAGAAGAAACTCTACTTGGACACTTCATGTTAAAGACAGGAGCACATGGGAGATGTGGGCAGCGAGGTAACCCTGCCAGACAGGGAGGGGTGGGAGGACGTCATGTAGTGCCTTTGACATTTCTGAGCTATGTTCCACCTATTTAAACCCAATTTCAGGAGCCAGAAGGTGGCACAGCAGTTAAAGTGCTCAACTCCCATATGGCCAACTGCCACTAGAGTCCCTGACCCGGCAGCTTGAAAATCAAGCTGGGCATGCCCAAGATTCGAGGAGGAGAAAGGACTGTGGTATGGCCATTCCTCCGAGGAGTGACTTCTCATCTTCCCACTGTCTCTCTCTAGCAAGTGCAAGTGCACATGCCCTATGGCCAAAACCTTAAAAAAAAAAAAAAAAAAAAAAGGTAAAAAACTATAACTTTTAAAAATAAGTATTTGGACCTTCCTCCATTTTTATAAATGCTTTCCAAAGGAAGAGGACAAAGTCTGTAAATTCACACCCCCCACATGACGCTAGGTGCAGAGATGTGCAAATAAACACAAGAGCGACTCTCCAGGTGCTAGGAATCCTGGGGACCAGATTCGGAAACACGGTTACTCCATTCGGGGTTCTCAGCCCTGGCGGAGAGCCTCGGCATGCCTGAGCTGAGGAGGAACAGGAGAATCGAGGAATCACTGGACGCAGGACCTCGGGGCCTGGTCACAGGGTGGTGGGAGAAGGGCAACACCACACAGGAGGTAGAAGGGACAGCAGGGAACAGTCCACACGGGGTGGGAGGGCTAGAAGCCACACGAAGGTTCGTGCTGTTTTTACTCTTTACCTCTCATCACCAATTCCTTAGGTGTTGCAGGGGACCTCAAAACACCTACCTGATTATTGGTAAAGACCCTGAAAATGTGGAGCTCTGCATCTGGAGCAAAGCCCTGGCACTCCCTCATGCTGGCGATCACACCCGCCACAAACGTGCCGTGGCCCAGCCCTGTGCCAAAGGAAAGGGACTCGTCAGACAGCCTGCAGCAGCCCCCCTTGGTCCCACTGGTGGTCCCAACTGACCGCTCTGCGGTGCTGGGAGCAGCTCTATGGGGCCCCCCCATCTCGCCAAGCACCCCACTCTGCAGGCAGGGAGAGCACTTCACCTGGCCTCCCCCCTCCTCACACTCTAGCTCCTCTGAGACTTCCAGGAGAGCCTCTCCCCGAAAGAAAGGCACAGTGACACCCAGGGCCATGTGTGACGGCGGGTGTGGACTGGACAGTGAGCACGAGGACGTGTGGCTGACCCCACAGGGGAGGGGAGCGCCGTCCTGTGCTCACTGCCCACACCCTCACGCCCTGCGGGGACCCACCGTCGTCCAGGGTCCGCTCGTTGGTCCAGTTGGTTCTCTCTCTCACGTTTTTAAAGTGGGGGTGCTTCTCGCTCAGCCCAGTGTCAAAAACAGCGACTCTTACATTAGCACCTTGTTCCAAAAAGAAAGCAAGCACCATCATGTCTGGGGAAAACACCTCCCAGGATTTCTGTCCACAGATACATTCCTTCCCAGGACCCACAGCATGTGACAGGTCATGGGAGGTCAGAGCCTGCCCCGAGTGCCGCAAGCTAGGCCAGGCGCTCCCCTAAGAACAGAGGGAAATGCCACAATCTGTGCTGAGATTTCAGGAGGAGCAGAACGTCCGTGGGCCCCCTCGACTCTGAACCCTGCCCTCCTCCAGGACTCCCCCGGGGCGCATCCGGGCTGCAGCCGAGGGCTGGCTTTCTCCTGGCAGTTCACTTCCATCTCTATCCCCCTCCCACCCCTCAGCAGCCCCACCAAGCGCCCACGAAGCAGGGACCTAGGGAGCAGGGAGTGGTTAACGGGAAGGGACATGGTGCCTCTTCTTGACAAGGACAGGAACGTGTTCGATGCTGCATTAGTAACTGCCAGCTACACGGCACACCACCACCACGTGAGAAGGGACTCGCTGTCTAAGCACTTTTCTACCTAAATTAGTCCATTCGGGTACTAGCCAAAAGCCATCTGTACTACTATGAAAAAAAGGCCTGTTGGATCAAGAAGTTCTAGAGAACACCTAGAAGAAATACAAATACTTGTCGTTATTTAACTGCTAGCCAAGTAATGAAGGCAGTGCTACCTCTCTGGCACGAGAACAGTCTCCATGGCAACTGATTATGCCACATACCTTACACTGAGCTAACCAGCACTATGACTGCTACTTCTTTTGGGGGGGAGATGGCTTAGAAAGAGTCTGTCTCCAGATCCTCCTGCCTCAGCCTCCTTTCTAGCAGTGGGCTCATGGTGGCTGCCACCACACCGGCTCCTTCGAGTGGTCTCACTATGCTGCCCAGGCTGGCCAAGACTCAGGCCCAAGCAGCTGGACCACAGGCACATGCCCTCATGCCTAGCTTTTCAGAGCGGGCCAGGGATCGAACCTGGCCTCGCATGTGGCCTCAGCCTGCGGAGCAGCAGCACGCAGTACACGCATGCAGCTGGGCCATAATCACTGCCACTTTTTAAAAACACACACATACAACTAGAAACCATTTGGTTTGGGAGGGAATTTAAAAATGGACCAGCAGACAGCATAATGGTTATGTCACTGGACTCCACGTAGTCAACCGTGCTTAAGAGTTCCAGTCGAAGGAACCAGCAGTTAGCGTAATGGCTATGTCGCTGGACTCCCACGTAGTCGACTGCGGTTCACGTCCTGGACCCGGTGGCTTAAAACTCACGCCGGGCACGTGTGCGTGCGTGCCCAAGATCCCGAGAAGAGAATGGAGGAGAAGGGATTGCGGCGTGACCATCCCCCCTGGGGAGTGATTTCTCGCTTTCTGTCTCTATGTCTCTCTCTGTCTGTCTGGCAAGCGCACATGCCCTACAGTGAAAATCTCTCCAAAAAGGAAAAAAAAAAAAAGAGTTCCAGCCGGGGGATCAGCAGTTAGCGTAATGGCTATGTCGCTGGAGTCCCCAA